GCCCATTGTTTACTAGTATATATGACATTGTTTACTAGTATATGTAAGGTCAGACCCTAACAAGGGGATTGCTTTACGCATGGCCAGCTATGTATACGTACTGAGCAGTGTGACCGTTTTGATCCAAGTGGATCAAAAGTGATACATTTTTCGATGAATATTTGAGAGATACTTCTTTTTAAATTTTGATACTTATTCAATCGTGTGAAAAAATTTCCCGTAGAAGCGGAAAACCTTGCCAGAGATGTTTACAATTTCGTCGCACATAGTGCTTAAAGGGTGCATGAATTTGCCGTGTTTCAAAACTACGTTGGTGCTAAAAATCTTAAATTTTTTCGTGTCAAACGTTCGCTGGTTATCGCTGAAGCAAACTGTTGATCGTTTACTGTCCCAGTGGAGAGCGTTGCAATTATTTTTCATAAAAATACATTATTTATTTTTTTAAATACAAAACGTATTTAAACTAAAAATAATATTATATAATATATATATAAGCTTATATATATAAGAGTATATATTATAAGCGGCCGCTGTGGTGGAGTGGTAAGCAGTGCGCGCTTCCACTCCGCAGCGCCTGCGTTCAAGCCCTGGCCAAAGCAACATCGCAAAAAATTTAGAAAAAAGGTTTTTTCTTAACAGCGGTCGCCCCTCGGCAGGCAATGGCAAACCTCCGAGTGTATTTCTGCCATGAAAAACAGCTTCTCATTAAAATACAATCGCCGTTCGGAGTCGGCGTAGAACTGTAGGTCCCTCCTCTTTGTGTGACAACATCAAGGCGCACGCCACAAATCGGGTGAGAAACTCGGCCAAACTAACTATATGTGTAAGCGCCAATCTATTATTATTATATTATTATTATTATATATTATAAGACATTTTTGCTGTTTTTAATATACTAATACCCAGTTAAATTGATACATCTAATACCACGTTTATACGTAAGCTATTTGCAAATAAAAGTAATTTGCAAATACCTAACTCACTGTTTATTCGAAGGTGAAAAATTCTTGTTTAATATTGCTTGATTGTAAAAAGGCGATAATATGACCATCGAAAAAGAAAATAAAGTTAAAAATGGCAACGTCTTGATTATAAAAAGGCAATAAGATGACCATCAAAAAAGAAAATAAACCTAAGAATGGCGGCGTCTTGCGCTTATTTGCAAATAGTACCACTAATCAATACTTATTTGCGTGATTTAGTTATTTGCAAATAAAAACTTAACTCAGCGTTTATACGGAAAAGTTTACCATTTTGTAAATTGTTATTTGCAAATAATACGTGGGTATAAACGTAGTATAAGACATTTTCGTTAGTATTATTATACTAATATCAAGTACAACTGATACTTGCACCTTTTTTGCAATCAATAAATGTTAAATTGTTTTGAAAAAATATTGGTTTTATTCCATATTGATACTTTGATACTTAAAATAAAAAAGTGATACATATTGATACATTTTCAGTCTATTTTCTGCTACAATTTTTCACAAGCCCGCGGTCACACTTGTACTGAGTAGAGCATTATCTTGCCAAAATACCACAGTTAAAGTTAAATACCAATGCATGTGGTTTTTAGAATAAAGAAATATGCAGATTTTTTAGACCACGGAGCACTCCGAATTTCGAGGATTATTGCTAGTTTCCTTTATTATAAAAAACAAACAATTTTTAATGGCACACAAATATGGCTGCGTTTCTTTATACATTCCGGATAATCCCATTTCACAGCCGGAATAAACAGAATGTTTTTGAAATATACGTTAACATATCATCAGGAACGTTCTAAAGAATAAGTAAACAAAAAAGTTTATTCCAAACGTTCAGAATGAATAAAGAAATGCAGCCTATATGAATCGATTCCGTTTTGTTGATGCGCAAAAATAACTTATCAAAATAATTTCGTTTCGGAGCTAAATTAACGAAATAAAACTCAATCGTTAACGTTGAAACGAAATAAGTCATCAATCGTTAAGATCGAAACAAAATACATCAACGAAAAGATGTTCTTGTATGCCATTGCAGAGAACTTAGATAGATAGAGAAGGTGCAAATTGAAAGTGGAAACTATTCGCGGACGAAAAATTAACAGCTTTGGAAAATTTAACCACGGAATGTAGAAACACTTGTTAACAGACAGAAATTCTGTTGAATTTAATATTGATAACATAATAAAATGTTGAGCAACATAAAATCTGCTCTTCTTCGTGTTGCGAGCAAATAAACGGAAATATGGCAAATCTAATTTTCATTAATTTGTAATTTTTGTTAAATTTTTTAACTTGTTCTCGTTTCGTGAAGATGCAAATACAATTTAATAAAATTATAGCTTTGCATAAAATTTACACACATACATATGTACATGTATGTACACTGGCAATAAAAAGTGAGTGCATGGCGTTTTTTGTTTAATATTTGCAATGTTTTTCACGTTAAAATATTTTTGTTATATTTTTATAAAAATGTGGTTCATGCTTTAATTAAAACCTCATAAGTCAAACTTTATACAGAATATAGGAAAATTCAGCGAATTCTAGTCTAAATTTTGACCTGTTTAATCTGAGTTTTTAGAAAAATTTTGAGTACGCAGATAGATCGGTTTTTTAAATCTAGTGGAACAAGATCTAGTTTTAAGCGGCTAAAAAATCGGGTTGATTTTTAATGATTTTCCATTGCTGACGGCTTTTTGCACTTTTTGCCAAATAAAAGGGAATTCCTTGTAGAATAAAGTGCGCGTGACCGTTTGCAAACAAATTAAAAAAAATAGCGCTATATTTTACAAATTGCGCTTGTTATATGCATACAACCGCAAAACCCGTCGAAAATAACAAAAAAATTTTAAGAAAAACGAAAGATGGTTTTCTTTTTTCCCTCCAACGCGTTTCAACGCATTTCGCGTCTTCCTCAGTGAGTCTGGGTTTATTAAACAATAAACAACATGAATTACAATGCAATCAGAACTAATACAATTTGGACATTTTTTCAACTCACATTTAATCTAATAATTACATAAATAAATATCACAGGCGAATGTACATTCTAGAAACTATATTTATGTTTGTATACATAAAATTCATCGTTGCTCTTATTTGTATACGTGTTTGATGACAGCTGTGTAGGCGTTATTTGTTTTGTCCACGTCTTCTTTGAAGTTTATCGCGCTGTCCAGCTTTTGTTGTATACGTAGGCTTTCCAATGTTATTCTCCTCCTTTCTCCTCTTTCCACGTCTAGAATCCTCGTGTTCGCGAAGTCAGCTGTGTGCTTGAATGTCGTGAGGTGTTGAGCCAGGGCTGTTGTCATTTTCTTATTTCTCTCGTCCACCTTATGTTCGTTGATCCTTATATTCAACGCTCGTTTTGTCGTGCCCACGTAGCACGTTGTAACAACTTTAATTTTCTTTGTCTTTGCACATCATTTCGTACAAAACATTGTGTTGTTGCTCTTTCTCAATTTTATCTTTAGTTTTCGTAAATATTCCGTTCAGCGTGTTGTGTGGTTTGTGAGCATATATAATGTTATCGTTTTTAATGATTTTTCTAAGAGCTTGATTATTTGTTAATCCCGGTGTGTATGTTAACCCAATATGTTTTTTGTTTGTATTTTCTACGGTTTATTTTCTGTTGTTAATCGAGGTGCGAATTTTGTTTGCCGTTGTTTCTATTAGCCTTTGTATTGTTTCTTTAGGGTAGCAATTTTTCTCGAGTATAGTTTTTATTTTCTTGTTATTTTCTTCTCTAAATTCTTCGTCACTAAGTATGTGTATTTTTCTGATCAGGCTGGTCGCTGTGTTGATTTTTTGCTTCCACGGATGGTTTGAGTGGAAGTTTATTATTCTACCCGATGCGATCGATTTAGTGTACCAATTGAATTTGATGACATTTTGTCCCTTATGTATTTCAACGTCCAGGAATGCTATTTTGTTGTTTGCTTCCTTCTCTGCAGTAAATTTTATCTTCGTATGTTGTGCGTTTAATGTTGTTAATATATACTCAGCGTTTTTCGATTTTATTATTGCAAATACATCATCTACATATTTGGTTATGGATTTGACATGTATATTATTTTGCTTTAATTCAGCTAGGCTGTCGTCAATTATTTTGTCCAACACGATATCTGCTATTATTGGAGATAGTGGATTCCCCATAGGCATACCATAAATTTGTTGGTAAAATGTGTTGTTGTATTTGAAATAATTATTATCGCGTAAACAAAATTTGAGCATCGTCTGGAATTGTCTTTTAGTAATGTTAGTGTGATTCTTCAAATTCTCCCATTTTTTCATGATAGTCTGTATTCAAGAACGATAGAATACAAGATTGCGCATTCACGCAGAATGACATTTGTGGCAATGGGTAAACAAAGAGTATGGCGAAGAACAATGGGTTGACAGTTGTGAATTTGCAGTGAGAAAACGTGTTTTCTTCACGATTCACCAATTTCTCAAGCCATCTTTAAATATAGCAAATTAAGCACAACGTTAACAAAAAATATACAACCACTCTTAAAATGTGTTCAAAAGAATAGGTCTTATTAATTAACTATTTAGAATTTTGGTGTTTGTATAGGTGCCAAAAAAGTGATAATATCTTGTGGCCAAGGCGTCGTGGCGGGCAAACAAAAAAAAAAAACTGCATTTGGGGGCTTTACCCCTACGGCTGCTGCAATTCAACACACGACACGACATTTTTATAAACCCCTATGCTGTAATCCGAAAGTTCGTAGTTACGAATTCGTAGCTCCGTTCCGAAAATTCGAAAATTGGTATGCTTTGGCAGAAACGTATCTGAAAACGAACGAATCGTATTTGAAAAAGCGTTTCCTTAATTAAGTAAAATATATTGGATTCAGTGGCCGGTGCACTTTTGTCTTAGGAGGAAGAACATGCTGCAGTCAACTGTTGCATTAATATACAAAGGAGATTGCTCGAAACAATTCTGATCCATTTAGCTTAAATGATAAAATGTAAGTTTTATAATAGATTTCACTGATACACACATAAATTAATCGTTTAAATGTTTAAAGATTTGTAAAAAATTTCCGCCTCAACAAAGACGCATTTAAAAGCGTTTTAACAATTATGGAGGAAGAGCTTGGGCGAAGTGTAAAATCATCATCGGTGACTCCTATAAGTAGATTGATGGCAGTTTTGAGATCTTTCGCTGAAGGAAGCTACCAACATGGTGTTGGGAAAGATTTTGATGTGGGGTTGGCGCAATCCACGTTCTCAAAAACATTGACAAAAACTTTAAACATCTTAGAGCGCCGACTGTGCCCAGTATGGATTCAATTTTCAATGACGGAGGAGGAGAATAAACGAGCCAAAATGTGGTTTTACAGGAGATCGCAATTCCCTGGCGTTGTTATGTGTGTGGACGGCACGCACATTAAAATACTTCCTCCTGCAGACGAACCGTATTTGTACTACAATCGTAAGGGATACTACAGCCTAAATGCAAATGTGGTAAGTAAAACCACAAGAGCAAAGTAATTTTGTACGTGCAATTTATCGTAAATGTATTAAATAGATTTGCGATCACAAGATGCAAATAAGGTGTGTTGATGCTCGGTTTCCAGGCAGTAGCCACGACTCACATGTGTGGAATGTAAGCGCTGCAAAAACCAATTTTGAAGAGAGATATCGGCAAGGAGACAAAACAACTTGGATATTAGGTATGTTATAAGTGGAATGAGAGCAAAACGTGTTAAATATAACTAAAAATATTTTGTTTAACAGGCGATGCTGGGTATCCATTACAGCCGTGGTTAATTACACCATTCCGTTCTCCTGTGGCAGGAAGTCGAGAAAGCGCCTTCAACAAAACGCACAGTAAAGCGCGCAACATAGTCGAGAGAGTCATCGGCGTTTTGAAAAATAGATTTCGATGCCTGCTCAGTGTTAGCCAACTACATTATTCGCCCCAAAAAGTGGTACAAATAATTAATGTGGTATGCGCATTGCATAACATGTGCACCCACTACAACGTGGAAGATAATACGCCTGATATTATGGATGATGAATATGAAGATGTTAATGAAGAGGAAGCGCCATCAGAATTTTCCAGAGAAGCGTCAGTCATACGAATGCGAATTTTGAGATCATTACCTAACTAATGAAAACAATCCCATAACTTTGTACTTCATATTTATTTGATATAAAAAAAAGTAAAATAAATTCAGTTCTTTGTTTTTTTAAATCTAATAGTTTGTACATACAGTGGACCCAAAAAGTATTCGTCGCTTATTGTTTATAAGGAATAGTATAACAATTTTCAATGAAATGCAAAAGCAAACAATGTGTTACTTTTTCCACTTTTATTTTGGAGTAATCCACATGTTTCTACTGTAAAATCAATTTCATGATTTCAATGTATGCTCGAAAGAATCCCGTTATCATTTGCAGTTTACTATTTTGACAGCAAAAAAGTATTCGTCGCTGCGCAAAACGCCGTAAAATAAACATCTTAGATCAGTCGTGTACGTGATTTTCGGCTTGGATGTTGCAAATATTCTTATAATAGTTAAGTTGATGCTAATTTGGTTAAAAAAAATAACTTAAAATGGGAAGAAAAGCAAAAGAAACAACGGTAGAGGAGCGGAGGATTGTTGTGAACCTATTTAAAGACAACAAATCGTATAAAGAAATTAGGGAAATTCTAAAAAGACTTATTACTACTATAAAAAGTATCGTTTACATGTATAAAAATACGAAGACAGTGCAAAACGCGGTTCGCTCCGGTCGCCCTCAAGTCTTAAGTGGCAGGCAAAAAACCAATATCATTCGGAAAGTGAAGAAAAACCCTCGTTTAAGTGCTCCCAAAATAGCAGGCGAGGTGTTAAAAGAACATGGTGTTACAGTATGTCCTAAGACGATAAGAAATGTCCTCCATGGCGCCGGCTTTCATGGCTGCACAGCACGAAAGAAGCCATACATAAGCAAGGTAAACAAGCTTAAGAGATGGGAGTTTGCCAAAAAATATCAGCATGAACCCATAGACTTTTGGAAACGGGTCATTTTTACTGATGAAAGTAAGTTTAATATCCATAAGTCAGACGGAAAGGTTACAGTATGGAGGAAACAAAATTGTGAGTTAGAAAAGCGAAATATGGTTGGCGCAGTGAAACATGGGGTGGATCGGTGATGGTGTGGGGGTGTATGAGCGCTAATGGGGAGGCGATTTATATTTCATCGACGGAATTATGGATCACAAGTGTTTACGTCAGCATTTGCCAAGCAGTGTGCAAAAAATGGAGCTACCGAATGATTATATATTCACTCAAGATAATGACCCCAAGCATACCGCCTTAAACACAAAACTTTGGTTATTGTATAACACCCCGTCATGGATGGAAACACCTCCACAATCACCGGACATTAACCCGATCGAAAATCTTTGGCATATTTTAGAGCAGAATATAAGAAATCGATGTATTCAAAATAAATCAGATTTGATTGAAGCGTTAAAAACCTAGAAGTTTGACCGAAAATTTAGTTAATTATATGCCTAGAAGAATGGCAGCGTTAGTTGAAAGTAAGGGTAATCCTACTAAGTACTAATTTAATTAAAAAGATGAACTTAATTGAATTGTTGGTTTTGTTTAGTGAGTACTCAATATGAGAGACGAATACTTTTTATGCATGTAATTTAACATGCTATGGTTGAACCGTATTTTTTCTTAATTTTCGAAAGCTTATGATAATTAGTTTTATATCCAAAATATTTGTGAAATATCGAACTGTATGCTATGCAAATGAGATGTTAAATAAATATTTCGTCTCTCTCGAAATAAGTGTTTGGGTGCAATTTTATTGGGGCGACGAATACTTTTTGGGCCCACTGTATATACAGTTATCACAAGCGTAAGTTCATCTCTTCAGTTCAGTTCTTTTCTTAAATCTAATAGGTTTACACATATATCACAAGCGTTAGTTCATTTCTTTAGTTCAGTTCTTTTCTTAAATCTAATAGTTTATACATATATACAGATATCACAAACATTAGTTCACTTCTTTAGTTCAGTTATATTCTTAAATCGAATAGTCTTAAATTCAATAATCTTTAAATAAAAAAAATAAAAAATCAGTAGTTCAATGCAAAATTAAATTAAATTCAAAATTAAAAAAATCTTAAAAAAAAAATTAATCTATTCATTTTTGCTGGCTTCTTCCTTGTATCCGCAGTAATTTTTCCTGCAAATCAAGCTTTCTTCTTTTCAGGGCCTCCATTTCAATATTGTGCCGCTTTAATTCACGCAATTTTTCTTTCTTCATGTCATGCATGTTTTCTTGCACTTGGTACATGCGTCGCACGTATCTGCCAGTTCGTTTGCAGACTCAGCCTGGCGTTCCAAAAAGGCCAAACTTATTTGGTAGCAGCTTCGTTGCAAATTTATTTGCTCCTGTACTAAAGTAGCCGTGTCGTTTTTTTTACCGGAGGGGAACGCCTCTGCACATTGGCATTGTCTGGCTCAGTTGGCATAGGAACGACTGCCGCAGGTTCCACCACCGGTTGGGTAACCGTCTGTGTTGTTACCACACCAAAAGAGACAGCTCCATTGATCCCCGATATGGAAGTGTGCAAACCCGTCAACTCGATCACTTTTTCCTCCAACTCATTGAAATTATGCATTCTGTTGGGTCCACCACCAGTTGCCCTCGTCTCTGCTTTATTTGCAGAAAGTTTTCTTTTAATGTAGCACTTATAATCGAGCCATACCTAGAAATAGTATTGATATAAGGAAAACAATGATAACTTTTGTGCTCTTAAAATTTTATCCGCACCTTTTTCCAGCTGGATACATCTTTTGTCGGTGGGCCTAAACTGTTTAGCTGCTGAGCGACGCTTTCCCAAAACTCCACTACATCCTCTTTTGCCCCTTTTGCAAAGCCGCGAGCAATGTCCGGCCTTTCGGTCAAGCATTCTACCATTTTTTCGTATTGCGGCCGATTTGTTGTAATCTTCGACCTGAAAATTTTGTAAATATTTAACAATAATCCATTTTTTTCTATTTACACTTTAACTTACATATTTTTTCCTTTACACACTTTATTTTATTGATATTTAAAAAAAAAATCGCTTCGCTCCGATACCAGGTGCTCTTCGTAGAAAATTTCCGACAAATACATACAAATGACAACTACGTCGGATTCAGGCATACCAACATTACGAATTTCGAAGATGGTCTCCGAATTTCGAAATTACGATACGGCAACGCGGATTACAGCATACCAATTTTACGATTCGTAGCAAAATCGAATCTACGACGGATTACAGCATAGGGGTGATAAAGTTTTTATTACAAATAAAACGTTTTTTATTTTAGAACGCACGAATTACTTCTATTTTTCACTTGAAAGTACACAATACGTTTGCACTTGTTTCTAAACAAAAAGTTTGTTTACGTATTGCCATAAACGTCAAAGTCAGCAAAACCAAAGTAGCGGTTTCGGAAAACGCCACCTTCAGTTCATTACACCATGGTCTGTATTGCTAAATGTATAGGGATGTTTGTGAAAAGGGAAATTGCGTCGAAGGATATTAAAATTGCATCTTCTATTTTTAGGCTTCGGAGACTTTCCTTCAGTTCGTATGAGTTCTTTATGTTGTATTTGTCCGATATTATATTCTTTAGGATGTTTCCAATATATTTTGATAATTTATAACAGGGAACACTTGTCGATGAGGAAATTGGCCTGAGTGGTGTATCCGGTTTATGAATTTTAGGAAGGCCATATGACACGCTCAGAACAAAAACGACGAATATTATAAGTCAGAGCAAAAATGAACTATATTTTTTTCTAGAGCAAAAACGAAACAAATCGACAGCGTACGTGTGAGCTTTGTGTGTATGTATTTCGTGCGCGCTCGGTGGTTTCTGCTTTTGCTTTTGCGTTTGCGGTGATCGGCAAAATGTAGCAGCGAAAACGTTTATTTGTACATTGCAATGCTGCAATGGGTTTTGTAATCTCATGTCCATAATTTGCATATGCTTCTTCAACCTGTAGCAAACTACCAACGCAAGCTATGTAAATTAATAGAAAACCTAATATTAATAAAAATAAGTAAATTTTGTTTTATTAATAAAATAAATAATTATCAGAAAATTTACAAAGCAGTTATAATTATTATTTAAAAGAAACAAAATTAAATTATAATTCACAAATATAGTATGTAAATATTATGGTATGAATTATGTTATAAATAGCACGTAGTCACAAATTTAAGAAAAAACCTGCCCTCCGATATTTGACCATCATTACTCATGCAAAATTTTCCCCTTCAAGTATGTAGAACAGTGTTCGAGATATAGATAAACTTAAGTTTTTGGAGATTTGAAGAAAAAAGTGGACCCACTTAATTGCAATTTTTTATATACTTATTTGGCTTATCTCAAATTTCTTTGTACACTAGTGAAGGTTATTAAATTTACTATGTACAATCATGTGAAAAATAATAGGGACACGAAATTTTGACCAGTTTTGGCTATTTTTCTTTCGTTTTTTAATGTTTATTATTTTTTTTATAAAAATACAGCTCATTATCTAACCAATTTACAACAAACTTTTTATTAGGAATTTTAGAAAAATTCTAATTATTCAAAAAATTCTAATTATTAATAAAGTGTAAATTGGAAGTGGGTAAGAATTCGCGTTTAGTTTTGATAACTTTTTTTGCGAATGGTATTATTTTCTCCATACAGAAAAAAAATTGTCAATAACACTTTATATGGAAGAAAATGTGTGAAAATGCGTCAAAAAACCAACACGAATTCTTAGCCACTTGAAACTTGAATTTATTAAGCTAGAATTTAAAGGGCTATAAAACTGCTTATCTAAAATAAAAAGTTAGTTGTAAAATTTTTTTTTTTAATTTTTCTATAAAGTTTGAAATTTTGATTTATATGATTTAAATAATGAGCTCCATTTTTATAAAAAATAATAAACATTAAAAAAGCGAAATAAAAATTGCCAAAACTGGTCAAAATGTAGTTTCCCTATTATTTTTCACACGACTGTAGGTGATAGCAAATTTAATAATCTTCACTAATGTAAAAAGAAATATGAGATTGGCCAACTAACTATATAAAAAATTTGAAATTTTTCCTCAGATCTCCAAAAAACGAAGTTTCGAAACACTCGAAAACTTTTCTACTTGAAGGACAAAATTTTGCATGAGTAGGTAATGATGGCCAAATGCCACAGGTCAGAATCTTGTAAACTAGTGTAGTCATTCAGTTAGTCTCTTCATCACACTGTTTTGGTGGCTT